CAACATGTCATGAGTCTCTGCTACCCTTTTGACTACGTTGAAACACTATGTCATGTTAAGGTGTTGGTCCATTTTGCACTCCTATTTTCAACGATAAGAGTTATTACACTGACTCCTTCTGCATAGTCGCGGCGTGCGCCACTAGTGCACTTGGTTGTTTGCACGATAGGAGGCTTGTTGACGTGTATCCCAACGCGTATGCGTGGGCCACTCATCTTAACCAGCGCTGTTTTTAACATCTGGGACCATTCGTCGAACTTGGAAGACGCAACTTTTATTTGTACTTGCCACTGAATAATGTCGTATTATTTATCTGCACCCCTAAAAGTGAATCGGATTATGTGTAAGATGCAGCGTTACATAGGAGTTATATGGGAGAAGAGTAAAAACGGAATGATATGAACATATGGTTCAAATTCAAATAGTTGGTAGCAATTTAGTCCGTCTACTGACTCGTGAGTTTAACTATACCAATAAAACTGAGAGTAAAGAAAGCTTTTAGGACTATCCGACTCCAATATTCCCATATCAAAACACAAACTTAGTTCTACTGGCACTAGTTTATTCAGAGTGAGCACAGTGTGATTGTGCACTAAGTAATGCTCACGTATCTGAATGCATGAACATGGTGTTTATGATTTGACCGACCAAAACACACCGCGCTTTAAATACACCATAAAAGCTGCTGATTCTCGAGCAAGTGTGGATCTTTTTGAAGTACTCGTTGGGTAAATGTATTATAACAGGTAATCTCAACGTGGACCGCGATTCGTATTAAAGTGTACCTTGATCAAACCGATCACTGGGACAGTAAATGAGGCAAATGAGGGCTGGGAGTTGCCAGCTTGAGAACTTTGCACTCCTCCACCGGTTACTAACTTGTTTACTCGATTCAGGTAGAGATAGCACGAGTGCAATTCGAACCTATGGCTTTGGGATGTCGAGCGAAACCTCTATCCCTAAGCCATCGAGTCACCTTTGGGTGAAAACGATTAGCGATTAAACCGGTGTCGTTCTGCAGTACTCGTTTGGTGAATGGATAAGAACACGAAGTTTCAGTCTGGACGAAACCAGTTGCAGAGTGCAGTGTGGTGAACGAGTAACTCATGACGATCATCAGCTTAAGAGCGGTTTGCGATTATGCATCTATGTACGAAGCAGTACTTTTGCGCCGATCTCAACTTTTGGCTAGTCTCTGATAAGTCTGGGACTTAGCAAAAAGTGAGCCAATGAAAACGGCATGGGGAGATTTAAGTAAACAAAGTTGCTTCACCATGGTCACAACATCTGTACGGTAAAAAGTATCATCAGAGATACATCCTACTTACTGCTCAAGATCATGAAGAGGTTGTCTGTTTTGGTGACGGAACATTGGTAACTTGCTCGACGCATTTGCACTCTTCGGTCGATAACCAGTATGGAGCCTATTCTCCTGGTTTGACTGCCCTGTTTACCTATTTCGGGAGGTTGTCTTCACCTAAGACAAGAAGTACTATTTCGCACTGCCGGCAAACGTCCGACACGTTCAATGGACATCCGTCAAAGCCAACCCCAGTTAGACAGCTACTGCACGCCCAAACAGCATTGTGCGATAGTCACGGTCTTTCGAGATTCATTAACCTTGCGCATTCCATCTTCTGGTAAGAGCTTAGAAGGCGCAACCCTTCATTTTTGGGTGATAGGTACATACCAGAGGACAACGAGGGATGGTGGTAGCCGTCGAAACTAATTTGATACAAGGGATAAAGCGTGACGCTTATTTTCTATTATCGTACACGTTTACAAAGTGCAGAGAATATAGTTGGGTCCCAGCAACACAACTTCCCACTCTTTCTGTCATCGTCCTATCTTACTTCAAGTAATAAATAGTTTTAAAAGGCGTGAAAGAAGGAATTTGTATAAATTTCGAAGCGGAGTGGCCCAGATTAGATTTAGTTACACGGTTACTAAACATCGGAAACTGCGCTGAATCGTTGTCCTGTTCTTTTAGGACACAACAGTTGTCAGAGCAAAGAACCCGGGACCATCGCTCTTAGAGTCATTAGTCCTTTGTCCAGCATACTGGTTGGCGGCATCCGATTTCGGATTTACCTGTCACTGTGGCCAGTCACAGGACGCTTGTGCCTACAGAGGGAACATGGGTGGCTTGCGCTGCACCACCCACAGCTCCAACCACACACCCATATCCAGTATAAACCCGAAGGAATAAGGCCGGGAGGCATGTGGATGGGAGCTACGTTTCATCAACGGAGCCGGCCCACACAAGCACGCTGTAGGTGGGGAATCAATCACACACAAAGCGGTGGCTTGGCCCTAGTCCGCTCCACACTGAGTGCATGGAACCACTCTTCAAGCCTAACACGACCACAAGTACCGTGCACCCTGTCCCCTCCAGCAACGACCAACTGTCTCCTGGAGCCAGATGGATGAGGTAGTGGGTAATAGACAGGTAGGCACCTTGTCAACATGCACATCAAGCGCAGCCACACCTGGGATGTCAAACAACAGCCAATCATTCGAAATGCCGATATCGAATAAAGTAAACGCATATGACGACATAGATACTCGCTAAATGAGCATATGGAAGAAAGTGGTGAAATGTGAATACGCGATAAGTACAAAATGTCCGAAAGTCATTTCAAAAATTCCACGCGATAAAATTACACAAGTTTACCATAATTTGTATGAGCGACATGTGTAAGTTAGGAGAAGGTTATCAAGTACGCAGAAAAAACCAAATAAAATGTAATGCATTTTATCCGCATACTACAAACTAATAAACTGTGTTCCATGTCTTGCTTCTTCATGAATACTTGTTTGCCAGATAATTAGGTGTGATTGGGCAACGTTGGTCAGCAATCCAATGACCTGATTCCGGCAATACTCCGGCGATTTCATTTGACCTCACCGAAAACTTGGTTCAGGTGACACGTTACAACACTCTTATCAAAGCACTATTTATCGCAAGTGAGAAGTCAGCAGCTTTGCGCAATTCGTGAAATGGTCTAAATCTAGTAATGCTCGATATCGGTAAAGACATTTTATTCCCATAACGTATGGTAAGCCCCGATGACTTTAAGGTTGCTTAGTATAATATGCCGGCCAACCTTAACACGTCGTGTTGAAAGAACCAATCACTCGAGCAGTTGTTTGTTTCAGAGTATATAAGAAAACCGGCGTCGCCGGAGGGTCAAATACCCTATACCTGCTGAAACGGATTTGAGATGGAACGGCATAAAAGGGGTAGTTTAAGAGTTAGTTAAGTGATGTAACTTACCTTATGTGATGCGTAAGGTATACGGATAGATAGGCCTACTCAGTGAGCGTTACGTAACGGACGGAATGAAGCAGTTTAACAAAACATCGCTGGTCGGGTTTTGAAGCACCCGCCGTGTGTGTTGGACTGTGCCAGGTAATCTCATCTCAGGCTATCTCTATCTGATGAGTCCAAGCCAGGACGACACGCGTCGTGGAGTGCAGGGATGATAGAGAGCAACACCGAAACTCAACACTAGTAGTTCCTGCGAAGACTGCGCACGAGCTCGGAAGTTTTACATACAATAACATTAGGATCCATAGTCACAGAAGAAAGATTGGTCAGGCAGTTCATTCGGTTTCACGAATCACCCGTAAGATAGTATCAGGCATAGAGCATACTGGCTACCGTGCTAAATGAGTTATTTAGCTTCGGTTAAGTGTGTTTGTGAAGTAGGCTGCTTAACACCGTCACTACAAAAATAATCATGGTATCGTCAAATTTTAGCACACACGCTTCTGATTACACTTGCTTCTTGGAACTGATCAGAGTTTGGATAAACAAATAATGCCTAGTGCATCTGATCTGCATCATCGGTTAGTCATTTGCCGTAACAGTCCCATGACATTACTAGATACATTTTTCTTAACACTAAACACGCTGAGATAAGTTCAGTTAACCAGATAGCCAACCTCTACCTCCTCTAACTGGAGTAGAAAGTATGCAATTGCATTAAATTCCATTCCACGTGTGTTTTTAACTTAAAACCCATGTTCTCAGAGTCTCTAATAAGACGGACATGGTCTGTTGAAACATCAGGTTAGATGGGACTTAATCCAACTGGATTTGATCTACTATTCTCGTAAAAATAATGGTGCTTGTGGACAGATACATGCAAGAAAGTATGACAAAAATATAAGGAAACAGTTTTAAACATAAAAACAGGATTCAATTCGATCCTTCAGACAATATCGTCCAAAGCATCCTGGAGCAATAAAACTGACTGCAGGAACGGAGTGGATTTACTCTCGAACGATTAATATACAAGTGCAGCTTTTGGATGGACCCATGTATTATACCGAGACCTCCATGTTAATCTGTTACAGTAAATGTCTGGCTTTCGATAGTTTACTGAAACAAATCTTGTTCAATGAAACTTTATTGTTTGGTTCATATTGGAATACATTCATAATTCGTAAAGTAAGCTCAAAAAGTGTAAGAAAGTGAACTCAGTAATGTGTAATGCCTCCAGTCTTCCTGCCTCCACGAAATAACTGGCAGGATAAGCTACCACACAAATGCTTGGTGGTAAGACGCCTGCAAGTAGCCATAGATAGCAAACGCGGCCAGAGTCATAGTGACTAGTCTACTTTCGTTGGAATGTCGTTCTTTTTGCTCAGACTGTGCCTGCATTCTGTCAAGCCTTAACACAACGTTAACGGAGGTCAACTTTAAAAGCTATAGCACATAGTTAGGGTAAACTATATGAGAGTAAAGTCGGTGGCAAACATCTTACGGAACATATCAAGCACTGTGTTGCTTACACAATCGCGATCAAATCAAATGCTGATCTCAATGAGATTATGTAGCAACATGCTGCAGAAGTATTAAAACATTATGCCTCAGAGATGATTAATGGACCAGTTTTCACATAGCCAGATACAATTAACTGGAGACACCGGACAGATAGTGGTGTAGCACAAACAGTTCGGCACACAGAATAGTGATGAATTGGTGCAATTACCCAAGTGTGTTTCACTTCCTGCGCGCTTGCCATGGGACCACACCGTAATTCCCTTGCCACGTAACATTTCCAGTGTCGCGGTCCGTCAAATCTTCATTCCGTCAACTGGCTGCGCAAAACAGATAATGATTGGTGCTAGTGGGTACTTGGCAACATAAAAAGCGGTTTGTGTACTATGCATGCAAAACTCTCACCTGGATACGTGAGATGCGTTAAGAAGGGGTTCTGAATTAAAGTGTTGTTAAACTACAAGTCGTTTACCTATCAGTCTTCTGCAAAATATTCGCAGGTAACATCTTTATTCTTTGTGTAGCACAAGTTCTTCGCAATCAGTACTTCGCAGTAGTCGGTTCTGCTAAAAGTGACGTACATAAGTAGCAACAAACTTGCTTGATACATTTAAGATGACCATAGTTTACTCGGTCCATAGATTCTTAACCGTAGATTTGGCTCCAAATGGTCTACAACACTGTTTACTAATCGTTCGGAGATACACTTCGCAAAAGTTGAAAACGGTTCAGCTTTATGGTTTGATGATGGAACAATGGAACAACGGTAGAATGCGGGTTGAAAATCTAAGGTTTGAAAATTCCCGTGGGGTGGTTTGTGTTAAGTACATAAGTCAAACAAAACGTAACAATAAAGTGAAACGCGCATATGTGGACTCAACAAAATGGCTACGTTAACAAACAAGTAGATCCGTCTATCTCGATTTCTTGGGGGTTGGTGAGCGCAAGATTTATTGCGCCTTGTTGTCACTCGATGAATTCATTCGAATCAAGCAATGCAGATGGCGCAACACATCGTCGAGTCGCGTGGGCGCAGAAATATCAAAAATCGAAAGACCCTTCCATGGTTGACAAGTTTGAAGGTGAAAATAATTCCGTCAGTATTCTAGCCGACTGTATTGGGTGCCCAGTCTCAGTTTGTGCCCCATCAGATCTGACTTGCAGGTAACTTTCAGGAGTTGGTGGTAAGTGTAACCAGGGTTTTCAAAGATCTGGTACGCCAGAATGAGATTTTCCAACATCCTGCGGCAGCATCTGCTGCACACTCCTAGTGTTTTCAGTTGCAGATGATGTGGTAGCTGGAACAATCCCCTCACCTGTTTGGTTGCCCTTTGCTGTGGGGTTTCCAGCACAACCAGCTCGCATTTTACCCACGGTTGACAGGCATGAATCGCATACTCTATTTGGGACTTTACATATGCGTTGCGCATTTGGGGGAACATGGAGTGGTCGTACCGACACCACACCCTCCTTAAGAGACTCACATGTCGTTTCGCGTTTCGATGACTGCGCCAATCAGCCGAGGTGGTCTTGCATCACCACCCAAAGGTTGTGCTTCTGTGAGGCGGTTTACAAAATGTGATCACCAACCCTATATGTGGTCGTGGGCTTAGAGGCGTACACGCACAGTTTTACACTTTTATGCGTTGAACAGAAGTGGATCTGTCTTCGATAATCCTGACTACCGAGCTCCAGTCATAGCTTGATGTTATCAGTAAGATGCAGGAAATTCGACTGGATGACATGTACATGGGTATAATCTACGAATGCACAAAGTAGTTGGCGCAGACCAAGAATTAGCGCCATCTTAACACTGCTGCATGTGTACCACTACATTGCACATCCCTAGGATCAGAAAATGAGCCTCGCACACGAACTTGAAAGCATCTCCGAAAAAGCAAGTTGCAATCTTTCCAAGGATAAGGTTCCCGATTCCACATGTTTGTAGCTTGTGGAGAAAGATTCGGTGATCTACTCGGTCGGATGCATCGGAAAATTCGAGATAGATGACATTAGTGCCTGTCCCACTATCCACTGTTTCCGTTCAACTGCTACGTACAACTGCGATGAGCGCGCGGTTGATTATTCGGTGGCTGTGTTGTCAAGATATCCTCTGGTTGATTTACAGGCATATTGTAATCGTTCTGTAGAAGTTTCGGAATCAGACGATTTCATTACTGAATCTGCGATTTCTGGAGCATATTTTGTGTTATTTTCCCACAGCTTTCGTAGTTCCGTTTTGTAAAGTTCACTTTAAACAATTATCTCCTCTTAGTAATTTGAATAACGCTGTAAGAAGTCGAACACTAGCAGAGGTCAACATTTCATATTGTATCTTCAGTTCCAACGCCGTACCACTCGTCTCATATATTTTCGTGTTAATGTGTTGGAACTGGAGAGACAATACAAAATGTTGGCATCTGCCAGTGTTCTTCTTCTTACGGCTATATTCAACTTCCACTTTACCATTTCAAGTCACTTTTGCGATGTTTTCCGAAATGCCAAAGGAGTCACCTTGTGGTTCTAATTCAAAAATTGTCGGAAACATGGCAAATGCCCTTACGTTATTTGATCGCTGCGCTAGGTATCACATTTCGTGTGTCGGATTATCTGTCGTTTCCTGTCGGCTTCTTTGTTCCATTTAAGCTAGTTGTATCCAAATTTCGTGTAACGATTGTCGCAGTATAAGGCAGCCAGCGAAACGTATAATTTCTACCCATGCAGATCGCGACGAAAATCGTTTAAGCGTGAGCAGTTTTAGACTCACCGTCCAGAAAACTAGCCTAGGGTCCATCCAAGGTTCAGCTCAATATTCCTCTCATTCAATGCCCCTGAAAACTTATTACACCGCCATTTACTGTTTCCGGAGACAGGAAACCTACTAAGGTTACTAATCCACTGACTTTGCGTTCTGTTAGCCCTAATGACACAGATGAATCTCCAATGCATGACGAGCTATGGAAAACGCAACGACGAAAGAAGCCGCGACACGAAGAGAAGCTTCCTGCTACTGACTAACAACACTCAAGGCACGCAGAGCTCGAGCCCACCATTCACTTGAAGGAACCAGTTTGAACGCCAAGAGCCGATCAACTCTGATGCAGCTTCACTCGCCTGAGTCTAACGATCCATGTCATCAGGCACACTGTGATCATGACATAAAGTGTCTACAGAGTCTGGTTGATAGGCTCCTAGATGTGGGTGAGGACGGAGTGAAAGTGAGGCAAGACATCCGCCTCGGCAAAAACACTGCTGAGAAAGTCCGACCTATGCGGATATTTTTGCCGACGAGGCCAGCCCGATGCTAATTCTGTCTAGGCTTAGTAGATTGAGAATTGATATGGTGCATATTCGTCCAGATATCGATCCAACTGACCAGGAGCCCGTAAAGCGTGTATCATCGAGCTGAATCGGCAAATTGGTGAGATAGAAACAAGTCTAGGTATTGGGAATTTTCGGGGGATTATTACAAGACGAACACCAATTCGGTTAAGTCCGTCACTCACTCTTCAGGTAGTTCCAACCACAGCCTACGTACAGTCTTTATTAAAGTCTGAACTTTCAGGAACAAGCGCGGTGAGCTGTGCCGTTTCATACCTTTCGAGCGATCAGATGTGATGGGACTCGCAGAGAGGTGGTTGAACGATGAGTTACTCGCCCAGGAAGCTGAGCTTAGTGGCTACTCGTGCTTCTACTGTGACCGTCTGTCGAATGCACACAGTGGCGTGTTGCTCTACATCACGTCTTCTCCGTGTGGGAGACTCGTGAGCGCCCATCGAAGTAAACATGGCCTACGTGGGCAGCTATGGTGTTGCATCTAGCTCTGGCGCTGAGAGCTGATCTTGGCTGCATTCTAGCACAGGCCCCTGAACCGTTGCTGGAATTGGCTGTCGCATCTTCGAGACCACATGAGTAGCCGGAAACTTCTGTTAGCAGGCGATTTCATTTGTCTTTGTATACGCTGGTCTGAACTTGAAGTTGTTGTGATTTCGACGCAAATTGCGCTGATATGGTACTTGCAACTGGAGCAGCACACCAGCCAACCGGCGAACATAACAACGCATTCACCTCCATATTGCTTAGACTTAATGTTAAGCAGTTGTGAGCAATCCGTGTATGACATCCGGATCCTGGAGTCGCTGGCAGCGAGTGAGCACTCAGTTCTTATTAGCAACTCGGAGCTGCCGCTGCAGCCATCCCAAGTACTATGACCAGATTACTATGGAAGAGGAATTCCGACGGCTTGACGAGAGCCGCGATCCAAGTGTCTTGCTTTCTGCCTCACTGTTTCTGCTGAAGTTTGTTGGCCAGTTATAAAGAACGGAAATTTTGTATTATGTAAGCACTTTTTGCCTTTCGTGTGTCAGAAAATCGGACCGTGTTAAGGCAACTTGGTTAGACAAGGAATATTGTAAGCTGGCTTGGCAGCGGCGCAGGCTTATCTCTGGCTCGTTCAACGACTATGAGGTGTATAAAAAATAGCAAAATATCTATAACAGTGTGAAAACGAATAAGTACAGGTATTTCGAAGAGCCGGTTGTAGCTGCAGCTAAACTCGCTCCGAAGAGAATCTGCGTACGTGAAGCGGTGCCTGATGCCGACGGGTAACCTGCCAGTGATGGAAGAGGCGAGAGGACCGCCTATAACCTCCAGAATTGAGCGTGCGTCCGCCTTGACGGCGCACCGTACTTCTGTGTTTGCGAATGACCAGGTGTTTGTACCGAGTTCGGTGTGCATCACTTTTACCGAACTCGACAGTCTGACTTGTGATGTGAAAGAGGTGCGTCAGCTACTCGAAAATATTGACGGCACCAAGCCTGTTGAATCTGACGTGCTCCACTCCCTGATTCTCAAGTTGTTCTCGGCCATTATCGCGCCTGCCCCAACTGACATGTGCAACGGGTATATGTCCGAAGGTTCATTACTGACTGATTGAAAATGCTCAGTGGTAAGGCTGATTTCAAAAGGCGGTGACCCCCAGCAAAGTAGACAACTAGTGGCCAATGTGTTTAACACCTATTTTTTCAAGGTAACTGAAGCTTTTGTGGAAGCGTTTGCTACAGCTGTTCCGGTCAAAACATTTCCTGAGGCTGGTTTAGCACGGTTTCATGCCCGATCGTTCATGTATCAACAACACACTCATGACGACGCATGGATGGTTGCAAACAGTGAACCAGGGCGAGTCTGTCGACGTGCTCTACAGAGATTTCAGCAAAGCATTCGACAAGACAGATTATGGGGTCCTCCTTTGCAACTTGAGATTGTATTGTGTTGGTGGATCTCTGTACCAATGGATCCAGGACTTACTCGTTGGACGAAA